AATTAGCCCATATATATATACATATACATATACATAGACATGTTCATCCATATTCTACACTAGCTTGTTAAACGAATATCTGATATATAAAAACTTATATTCATCAATTGATAAAATAATAATAGACATTTCCAGATTCAATATCAAGTACAACGCTAGATTAGGCAATCTGAATAGATTGCATTCGGTGTAGAAGATTGCAGTTGAAATATTGAACTATAAACGATAAATTTCCGGCTAGATTAGACTAAGAGAAGTAATACGTAAAAAAGTACAACATAGGATGTCATAGTACATTTAAGGAGGCCATGACATAGCACATTATACAGTTGTACAAAAGGAAAATCAATTATTGAATTAGCACACACAAGTCTGAACTTTAAGCTTTGGGGCGAGACCCCAATGAAGCCCTACTTTCAACCGAATCAACAACACCGCATTTGCAGACATTGAATCATTTCATATCCCAACATATCATCAAACCCACTGTACACGCTTAAACACTTTAAATTGGAGAGTAGTCAGAATATCTCACTTATATAACAAAAACTTAATTAGTTTGATCCCATCTAACACAATCCGTTTCATCAAACATGCAAGCTCCAATTGGCTTCACAATATTTAATTTCATTGACGGCCTAAGAGTATGCAACGAAAATTTAACCACGATTTGTGTATATACTCAACTCAGCTGGAACATTGCCACAGAAAAGGCAGAAAGAGAGAGCAATACTTCCAGGCTGGACGCCAACTAAGCAAAGTGACTGAGAAACTGAAATAGAAAAGAGAGCATATTGATGTGTTTGTCTCTATATAAAAGAGCTCCGCTGATCGCTTTGCTTATCAGAAAAGCAGAAGCCCAAGGGGGTCCCAAGCGAGTGAAGTGACTTTTAGTTCTGGGTCGAACGCGAGCGACGGCAGTTGACGACGGGCATAAAATCAGCTGGAGAAAAAAAACTAATAAAATAATAAATACTACATAATATTTACTAACAATCAATAAAATGCTGCGAAACTTTGCGAGTGCGAGAAGTAAACTGGCCAGTAATTGGCCACGCCCACAGCGCAACTATCACAGCAAAGTGGGCGTCTGGGGCTATCGGCCAGTGACCAGGCGCGTCTTCAAAGGTATTAATACAAACAAACATAATAAAGCGACGATTTATACATTTGTACCTGAAAGTGAATTGTGCTACGAATTTAGAAGTGTAATCAGCTCACAGCTAAAAGATTGCAGCTGCTTCCTTGATAATCTGGCTGTATAAAATTTCCAGTGTGCTGAGATAACAATCGTCTATTTTTTTAGCATTTGATAAGCCGAACGAAGCTAAAAACTAAAAGTAATTGTGTTGTAAAATATTTTTCTGGCAGGCGCTGTCCACAACCTCTGACCAGTTCTGTTGACCGTCGTGTTTGTCTGTTTATCAATGCGTGTTTGAGTGCAGCCGCAAACCCTTCACCTACAACAACAACAACAACAACAACAATAAGAGCGACAAAGACAACAATGCGAATTGCTGTGGACAAACCAAATACAAACAGCGGCCGCGCAACTCAAACATGTTCGATGCGCATGCAATTATCGGCTCGAAGCTCGAACACTTTGCATACGCACATCGAACATGTGTGCAGCAACCTGTTGCAGTTTGTTTAAGTTTGCTCAAAAAAAAATTTACAAATTTAAAGTAACGTTTAATTATAAAAAAAAACCCTTCATTAAAATCTGCCTTTAAAACAAAGAAGAAACTAATAAAATAAAATAAGCTCATTTATAAAGTAATTTTAAAATTTATATTTTTATACCCTGAACCCATGGAAAATTGAAAATCAGGGTATAATTGTTTTGTTAAAGTGTGTGTAGCAGGCTGGAGGAGACGTGGCTGACCCCATCGAATATATATTCTAGGTCCGGGCGACGAACTGAGTCGATTTAGCATAGTCTGACCGGTTGTTTATCCGTCCATCTCTCCATATGTGTGACCGCATCGATCTTGGAAAATCTATAAAATCTAATTTCAATTTATCCATCTCACATAAGAGCAAATCTTTTCGAAGTCAGGGAAACAGTTTTTCCTGAGCTAAGATTTTTAAATGGAAAACTAACATGACAGCAACCGAGTTTGCCAATAAAGTCAATCATTAGGCTCTGCCATCGGGCTTGCCCATGATTAAAACGATTTTCAGTTGCAAAAACGATGGCCAGCTAAGCAAAGCACACGTACGCACATGAATACACATGCGTGTGTACCTGTGTATGCGTAGGTATGGGCGCCTGTGCGCGTGTGTGTGTGCGTGTGTGCACAGCACAATAACAAAGTTGTGCAAACAAAAGCCCAAAAATTGCGAATTGGACTTCTGAGCATCTAGCCAGGACTTAGAAAGAGCCACACAATTGGCAGTGCTCAGTGAATGAGGGCAGGTGTAAAGGTGTGAAGGGGCTAGGTGAGGACTCTTATCAACACGAGGCAAGTCAATTTCTATTAACATGCAAAGAGAGATGGAGAGAGAGAGAGAGAGAGAGAGAGGGAGAATGAGAATGAGAAAGGCACGCAATATGACAGAAAAGAAACTGGATTCTTACACTCAGAAGCTTATGGATTGATAAGTTCAACTTTAATCGGCTTAGAGTCAGCTTCCGTATTAGATAATACATATGCAGATTATGCAGATTTGTTCATAAATAGCACAAACGTTAGTATGTGATATAGTCCATTAGTTTTGGTATAGTTTTTGCAAATGCCTAGCTCAATCATTCCTTGATAGAATCGAGGCAAAAGATAAGTATGTACATACTTACAGTTGGCGTATATTGTATATGCAGAATGTAAAGTCTGGTTTCAACACTTGCTAACCCTTCAAGATATATCAAGATATCTGACCAAGTTAAAGGTTTACCTAACCAAAAAATAAAATCCCTTTCAGTACAGCTACAACTTTTTAGATAACAAACTTAAGTTGGGACACTTCACTAATTAGGCTATTCTTACCTCCTTAACCCCTCACCTTTCCCCATCTTATTTTGGAAATGAGCAGAACCCACCCGGATATTTCTCTATCTGTACGTGTTCACGGTGGCCAACTTGATCAAATAGCGGCGAACAATGGCATGACTTTGACTGAAGTCAACTGGAATGTTGTTTGGCAGTTCCTTTGAGCACTTGGCCTGCACAACCTGCCGGACCACGACGACATGACTCAATTGCTTGTGGACTTGATGCCAGTTTATTGTATGACATCAGCTGCCAGCTGCGAGCTGCACAATGCACGCTGCGAGCTTCTTCTTTAATTCAGTTGACAGCGTCCAATCAAACGGCCAACATCGGCTCGGATTTCTCATCCAACAACCTAGTAGCCATTGCTCAATGGATGGGATCAAGGACTTGCTTGCACTTTTTTATTGTACGCCCTCTCCCTCTGACTCTCTCTACCTCTCTCTCACTCTCTGTCTATCTGTCTCATATATAACTGTCAGGTTTGCCATTATGTCTGTGCTCTGCTCGTTGGTTCAATAATATTTGCACGCTCAAGATGAAATATCTTCGCCACAAATATCATTCATCATTCATTGTGTGCTTGACTTGCGCAACAGCAGCGGCAGAACCTGCATGTCCTGCCACAATAAATTGATTTATTACCAACCAAAAAAATGGCAAAAAGGAATGTAATTTTGTCAACGCATTGCATAAATTGTTAAAGCATATTACGTTTTAATGCATTTTCAAGTAAGTGCTCGGAAAACTGTCAAATGATCCTGCCTGCCTGCGTCAAGCACTTCGTAATCGACTTAGAGTGCACACACACATACACACGCACACTCACACATCCTTTAAGCAGGATAACACTTTGGCACATAAACACCTAAGCAGCAACGAGCTATCAACGGCTTAGCCCCCGAAAAAAAATACCATAAAAAGGGAACCCCATAAAAAACACACACCAAATGCCATATCTCACTTAAATATAGCTGCAAACCAAACATTTATTTGCTTAACAACGAATCTCTAATGCTCTTTAGAGTTAGATATGTAACAAAATAGAACGACATTTTTAATTTAATTTAAACAAACACATTTTTAGCATACGCATCAACATTAATTTCGAAATACACTTGGATATAATTTGTATAATTTTTTTTTTTTTTCATAAGACTTGCAAGAGCTAATATGCCCGTCTTGACTTTAGCCGCGCATTGAACCTAAGCCCAAATGTTTATGCAATAAAAATAAAAAGCCAATAAATTCGCAAAGGCCACACACGTTGGCAATACAATTCGCTCTTTCTTTCTCTCTCCCTCCCTCTCTGTCTCACTCTCTCTTTCATTGTCTCTGTGCATTTACTTTTTAATAATTTACAACTGAGAATGAAAATATATGTATATATATATTGTTTACGCATGTGTTTCAGTGCCCGAGGAGGTGAAGGAGTCGCGCAATGCACAGGCCAACGTCTACCGCTGGGTGGAGGCATTTCGCCAGCACGGGCACAAATTGGCAGCCGTAAATCCCATCAGCATCAAAGTGTCCGGCGGCCAAAGGTAAATAATGCGGGAAATCGAGCCGTGCCGAGCCAACTCGAGCCGGGATCCATTTTAAGTATCATATAATTTTGTATATTCGCTTGCCGGCTCCTTTGTATTGTCAATGTGCTATGTGGCCTTTTGCAGCGAGCTGCAGGAATTAAATCCCGCATTTTATGGACTGCAGACACAGCAAACGGTGCGCACCGCTGGCCTCCTCAGTGCGCCGGCGAATGCCCAGAACGTTGCCCAGCTGGAGCAGCTGCTGCGCGACATTTACTGCAGCAGCTCGGCCAGCGCCGAGTTCGCCTACGTTGAGGTAAGCACTCGTATATTTCATATATAAAACTGCTGAGACAGCTATACACAAAAGAAAAAAAAAGAAAAGTCAAATAAGCGAAGCGAAAGAAAAGTAATATAAACCTGCCCGACAGGACACCGAGGAGCGCGAATGGCTGGCCAAGAACTTTGAGTCTCTGTCCGAGCGCCAGCTGCAGTCGACGGAGCGCTGCGAAATCGCCGAGCTGCTAATTAAGTCCCAGGCATGGGATAATTTCATGGCCCTCAAATTTCCCACGGTCAAGCGCTACAGCGGCGAGGGCGCCGAGTCCATGTTGGCCTTCTTTTGGCAACTCCTGCGCGACAGCGTTCAAGGTCAGTTCAGCACTCTCCCAATTCGGTGACAAAATTAAATACATGTGCCTCACCTCATCGGACCCTAACAGAAAATGTCAACAATAATTGAGGATAATGCATAACAAGTCGAAAATTTGGGGCAATTGAAAATGTTTATTACTTTCCTGCGGGGATTCAACTAGAACATAGCTCGAACGTCTATCTATGTGACCCACGATGTTTTTTTGATAGATTTGATTTAAATAGTGTTTCACCTGTACTTATCTTTAATGAACTTAAGAGAATAACTAAGAAGAACCGAAGAACTATCCTAACTTAGCTTAAACACTGGTGTCAATGAAGAAACAGTTTCTGAGGTTGTTGAAATTAATGAAGAAGCAGGAAGATGTCTCGAAGCCTTTGCATTAGGAAATTTATGACATAGATGAGTGGATATGATATGAAATTAGTATGAAGAGTAGTGTAGAGACAACGACAAAGAAAAAGGTTAAATCGAATTTCTGATTTTTGAATAATTAAATTAGTAAATCACAGATGGATTTCATTCATGTATGGAAGTACAGTAGAATCGGATTCTATAACAAACGTAAGTTTGTTCAAGGATCAGAATTTTTCAGACAATAACCATAACCAGACGCTATAAGCGGAGTCGTTATAATAAGATTCGACTGCATTTCGCCATGCTTCGGCATAGACTGTTTAGAATTCTTGGCAATTAAAAATTACATATAAACAGACCTATGTACAAACGATTAAACAAAAATTACTGGTCGACAGACAGCTTCTTGCTGCTAAACTACATCAACTCTCAACAAATTTCTGCCCTTCCATCGATCTATTTTCCTATCCTTGCCTAACATATCATTTCCGGCATTCGGACAGCACATGTACATATATCAAAGTCCTAAGAACTTCTAGAGGTAGAAAGCAATATCCATGCAAAAGTTTGTAGCCAAGTTCAGTTTCCAGTTTATTATAGGATCTGTTGCGTAGTTATAACAATAACATTTACACATACATATACAAACCTACATATATATATATTTATAAATTTATGTACGTGCTTATGATATAATCCACATCTATATGCTCTGCTCATGAGGAGCAGAATGTGAAATACTCACATACGCGTATTTCGCCGCACGCTTGTTTTAACCCTAATCCGATTTTCTTCCAAAAACTTTGTTCCATTGCCATTCGCCCACCTACGCTGACAACAACAACAATAACAACAACAGCTAACATTGAGCATGTGGTGCTGGCCATGCCCCACCGCGGACGCACCTCCCTGCAGGCGGTGCTGCTGAACATGCGGCCGGCAAAAGTTTTTCGCAAACTCAGCGGCGCTTCGGAGTTTGCCGACGACATTGAGGCCATGTCGGACATCATAACTCACTTCCGTAAGTGAAACTTTTATTAGAAATGGATTGCTGGGCGCCGAGGGGACGATGGCGAAGGGAGGGGGTGCTCTTCGGGCAGACGCGACGTATGCGTAATTTAATCAAACCCACATCTTACGCAGATGTTTCGGAGCAGCTCCAAGTGCTTGGCAAAAGCATCAACTTTAGCATGGTGCGAAATCCTTCACATCTGGAGGTGGGTCGTAGTGCTACGCAAAGTCGAGACGCCCCTAACTCCATTTGCCTCTCTTTAACAGGCCGCCAATCCCGTGGCCATGGGCAAGACGCGCTCCAAGCAGCAGAGTCGCAGGGAAGGCGCCTTCAACACAGATTCGGAGAGCGCCGAACCCTTTGGCCAGCATGTTTTGAATGTGATCCTCCATGGAGATGCAGCCTTTGCCGGTCAGGGCATCAATCAGGAATGCCTCAACATGGCCTACGTGCCGCACTTTGAGGTGGGCGGCAGCCTGCATCTGATTGTCAACAATCAGGTGGGCTTTACCACACCCGGAGAGCGCGGACGCTCCACCGAATACACCTCCGATCTGGCCAAGACCATTCAGGCGCCCGTCTTCCATGTCAATGGCGATGATCCAGAGGCACTGATACGCATTACCAACCTCGCGTTCCGCTATCAACGCGAATTCCGCAAGGACGTCTTCATTGACCTGAACTGCTATCGCCGCTGGGGCCACAACGAGCTAGACGATCCGACCTTCACCAATCCACTGGTCTATAAAATTGTCCACCAACGCCAGTCCGTGCCAGACCTGTATGCAGCAGAGCTGGCCAAGCAGGGCGTGCTCAGCGTCGAGCAAGCTAAGCAAATGCGGGAGCAGTACATGTCCTATCTGAACGAGGAATTGTCCTTGGCGCCCAGCTATCAGCCGCCGCCAAGCTACTTTGAGCAGCAGTGGGCGGGACTGCAGCTGGCGCCCGTCAATGAACTCACCTATTGGGATACGGGTCTGGATTACGGTCTACTGCACTGGATTGGCCAGCAGAGCGTCGCCTTCCCTGATGACTTTGTGAGTAGTAGAATACAGAGAGAGACTGCCGATTGCATTTTGGGAGGATTTTAACATTTTAAAGAAGTCGTTCAGATTTGACCGGAAATTCCCCATTTCAGAACATTCATCCACATCTGCTCAAAACGTTTGTCCAAGGCAGACTCAAGAAACTGGAGGCTGGCGCCAAAATAGACTGGGCCACGGCTGAGGCGCTGGCCATTGGCAGTCTGATATATCAGGGTCACAATGTGCGCCTTAGTGGCGAGGATGTGGGGCGTGGCACCTTCTCGCATCGCCATGCCATGCTGGTGGATCAGCAGACCAATGAGATGTATGTGCCGCTCAACCATATGGAAGGCGGCAACGGAGGCAAACTAGAGCTGGCGCACAGCATTTTGTCCGAGGAGGCGACACTGGGCTTCGAGTACGGCATGGCCATAGATAATCCACAGAATTTGATTATATGGGAGGCGCAGTTTGGTGACTTTGCCAATGGCGCCCAAATAATCATCGATACTTTCATAGTCTCCGGCGAGAGTGAGTTTGGGATGGCCATAAGTAAGCTAAAACTGGCTTAATCTCTTCTTCATAAACAGGCAAATGGATGGAATCGAATGCTTTGGTCATGCTCCTACCACACGGCTACGATGGGGCGGCCTCCGAGCACAGCTCCTGCCGCATTGAACGTTTTCTGCAGCTCTGCGACTCCAAGGAAACAGCTCCAGATGGCGACGGCGTCAACATTCATGTAGTTAATCCCACGACACCGGCTCAGTACTACCACGTTTTGCGTCGCCAGCTGGCGAGAAATTTCCGTAAGCCGTTGGTGGTGGTRGCGCCCAAGACGTTGCTCCGTCTGCCAGCTGCGACCTCCACACACGAGGACTTCCAGCCGGGCACGCTCTTCCAAAATGTCATAGGTGAGTGTGGAGGCTTTAATCCGGAAATCTTTGCAAACGGGTGAGAAGTGAATAAAGCAAAGGGAAATTGGGCTAACCACAAAGAGCATATCATTTCGATTAGGAACATCTAACTCCATATCTGGGCGCCTATTTGTATGTCTGTATGTTTTTCTATATTTTATTCGTGTTGCTCAATAGTATGATTACTTTTTACCTACAGGTAGCGTATGATAAATGCCTCATCTTTCAAAGTAGCTTACTCTGAGTCAGAGAGCACATTTACTGCCCTGACTCGCTTTGACCCATGTTCTCTCACAATTTTCCAGGTGACAGCACTGTGCAGCCGGAACAGGTGCGCAAGGTCATCATTTGCAGTGGCAAGCACTACTACAATCTGGTCGAGGAACGCGCCAAACGTCAGATTCAGGACACGGCCATTGTGCGCCTAGAGTCCCTCTGCCCATTCCCAGTGCAGGAGCTGCAGGCCCAGCTGGCACAATATGGCAATGTGCAGAGTAAGTGCGAACATAAACTTGCAGGGAATAAGTTTGTGACTTGAAGCCCCCTCTCTCTATCCCTGTCTCCGTGTCTCTCTCTCTCTCACTCGCTCTTTGACCCAGGTTTCGTCTGGAGCCAGGAAGAGCATCGTAACATGGGCGCTTGGACATTTGTGCGGCCACGCTTTGAAAATTTAATTGGCAAGCAAGTAAGCCCCCCACACACACATACATATTTACATATACATATATACATATTTAAACACACACATGCCCACAGCTCCACTATTGCGGCCGCTGCGAGGCGCCCACGCCCGCCACGGGCATTGGCAAAGTGCATAAACGGGAAGTTGATGAAATTGTTGCAGCTCCATTTGAACTTTAGTACGATGCCGCCGCTGCCGGACACGGCCTTCCCTCCCCTCCTCTGTTGTCCCCGCGCCATGCGCCCGTAAATATATCACAAAGTACTTTAGCTCAATAAAACTGCCGAAATTAAAGAACAGCAAACACAAATTATTTTGCTCTAATCTGCACTTGATAGACTTGAACATATCTATCTAATATCTAATATCTAATATCTAGTATCTAGTATCTAGTATCTAGTATCTAGTATCTAGTATCTAGTATCTAGTATCTAGTATCTAGTATCTAGTATCTAGTATCTAGTATCTAGTGCCTAGTATCTAGTAGGTAGAGCTTAGTAAGGAGTACCTCAGGAGTCAAACAATGATCTAGACAGACGAATTTATAAGCTCTCTACCTGTAACATACATTTTCACATAATAATTATACCCTAATTTCCTATTATTAATTGTTTCAGGGTATTGCGATAAAAAAAAAAAAACACTGTCGCATGCCATAAAAGGCGGTGGCAGAAAGTTCAATGTGGCATTACATAATAATTTATCGTCAGTGCAAAAACACGTTGAAACTTTAAGCGAAAGTTTTTAATTACTTGATGTTGCTTTTGTTGTTTCGCATGGCATTTGTGTACATCGGTTTGTTGTTGCTTTGGACTCATTGGAAAATCCAAGGCTTTAAGCTGATGACAGGAAAATCAAACCAAATCGAAAAAGAGAAAAAAATGAAACTAAATGACACAGGAAGACCAGTTAACCTATCGTAAATATTTATTATGTTTATGAAACATTTTACAGACTTTCAATTGAAATTGTTTAAGCAGCGACGTGACTTAACTTAAGTAGTTCTAGATATAAATATGGTAGTAAATCAGGGATTAAATAGTATAAGGCCTAACATAGGTGGCCTAACATAGGTGGATGTATAGAAAAGAAATTAAGATAAGTGCTTATTTGAATAATTACTACAAACTGAAATGAGCAGAAGAGTGCAAATGGTTTTTATGGAGTTTGGAGTGTGTGTCTAGAGTATATGGAGGGTTTCTACATATAAGGCGATACCAAGGACTCTAAAGATCGGTAAAAAGGATTGAAAAGCAGAACAAACAAAAACAAGGTATTGAAACAAAGTCTCTCATCACGCTTAAATTCTAGATGTTGCAGTTGGCAGAAGCTTAAATGACTTGTCTGCCATAAACCTTCTCTAGAATATTGTAAAAGTCGGTGGACGTCTTATATGCAAAGTACAGAAGTCACATCCAGAACACAAGTGCCAAACAAACGGCAACTATAACCATGGCAGTTTCTCGACAATTGGCATTATCCCAGCCGCATTCCAGATCAAACTTCAGAGCCTAGAAAGTAGACGTGTTATGGTTAAAGTACAATCATATCAATATATCATCTATGGAATATATATATGTATATATATATATATATCTTTCACGTAACTCACCTCAAGTAGCTGCTGTCCGCCTTTATTATCACATCGCGTCTCTCGCAGATCGTCGTCATGGTCGTCGCAATTGTGTCTACCGTACACCTGGCAAGGTGAATTCATAAAGGTACGGAACACCGTGTCGGTCCAGGTCTGCGAAGAGCAAATATATTGGCGACGCTTGCGCTGCCAGAACTCCACCCAACTAAATAAATCAAATATATTAAAATGTTATATTCGAATAAAGTGGAATTTCCTCACTTACCCCAAATCGCAATCGCAATTGAGATCCGTGTGCGACATCTTGAGATCGGTGAGAAAAACACTATTAGGCAAATAAGGCACGGCGCCCGTATTTGGATTGGGTATTTTCTTCAAGTTGCGATTGTGATAGCGTATGTCCAGGGATATATTTCGAACGCGACCCATGTGCTTAAAGAAGTTCGGAGGCAGAGCTTGCAGCGAGGTATTGATGAGCTGCATATAGAGATAAGGCGAACGCATGCCCTGTTCAGGAAAGAAAACAATATGATGCAATATTAATTAATACGGTATATTCCTAGGCCAAAATCAAATGTATTTCAAAGAATTGAAGAAGTTATTGCTAGAGCTGATAAATATATATTTTCAGAAATGTAAAACTATTTACATATATCTATATGATAGATATCTATATCTAAACAAATCACAATATTCAAAGGAGTAAATCTATAATTTTCAATCGCCGCAAACTCACCCGCAATATGTGCTCATTGAGATTTGTGAACTGGGGTCCACTGAATGTAATGTTGGTCAGCTTGGAGGGCAGATGTCCCTCCATTTCGCGCTGCAGATCTGTGGGCATGCCCAGCTGCAGAGTCTGCATTTCCTGCGTTGGCCCTGAGCCCTTCTTCACGATGCGTGTGAAGGGCTGCGGGGCCTCAATCCACAGCTCACGGATATTGTGATGATGGCGCAGCAGATGGGGTATATTGAAGTGCTCCAGGTGCGAGTAGGCGGTTAGCTTGAGCGAGCGCAGATGGGGCAGCGAGTCGAGGCAGCCATACTCGAAGTAGTGCAAACGGAAATTGGATATATCCAGCATTTCCAGGTCCTCGTTCACGCCGTCGAAGCTGTTGTTGTTCAGCGAGGTAATGGGATTGCCAGACAGCATCAGACGACTGCAGCAAACAGATGCTCAAATCAGTTCTGGGCTGCAGGAGAAACTCTTGCTACACTCACCGCAAATGGGGCAGGGATTGCGTCATTAGGGGTACGTTGGTCAGGTCATTGTTGGACAGATCCAGCATGCGTAGATTGGTCATATTACTGGCCAGCTCCTGTGGAATGGAGGGCAGCTCATTGTAGCCCAGTCGGAACTCGCGCAGATATTTAAGGCGTATCTCGGGCACTGTGCTTAGAGATACATTCTCCAGGCCGAGCTTAATCAACGATGTTTCCAGACCCATGAATGATTTGTCCATAACCTTAAGATCGCGGTTATGTGAGAGATCCAGAACAGCTAACTTGGGCATCGTGGCAAATACCGCGTCGTCTATTCTCAGCAAATAGTTGTAGGAGATGTCCAAGTAACGCAGAGACTAAAGGATATAAGTAGGAGGAAATTTCGATAGGATTAAATGTAGAGATGGGAGAGCTTGTCGAATTTTTCGTCATTACTCACCCTAAACTTATTGGACAGATCCATACTGTGTATGGTAGAGATAAAATTATTGGACAGATGCAGCTCGCACAGGGTCAAAGCAGCCAAGCTGGACAGCGAGGAAGATGGTATCTTCAGTAGCATATTGTGCGAGACATCCAATCTGCAAAGGGTATATTCAATTAGAAAAGTTACTTAGTGAATTTCTCAGTCATTCACTTTTCCATGCCGCCGTTGTAGAACAAATTGTCTGGCAAGCCACGCAGCTTGTTGTGGGAAAAGTCCACAATGCGCAGGCTATGGACGGGCTTGAATATATCCTGGGGTATATCAGTCAAGTAGTTGTGGTCAAAGTATACCAGCTGCAGCTGTTTGGTATTCTTAAAGGCATCAAAGTCCAATTCGTGTATCCAATTGTAGCTCAAATCCAGCCACTGCAGATGCGGCATATTGCCAAAGACGTCGCGGGTGGTGTTCTAAAAGAAAAATGTTTTAAAGATTAATTATAGATACTGAAAGAGAGAGAGTGAGAGAGAGAGAGAGAGAATACCCACCATAAGCGAATTGTAGCCCAGATGCAGATGGGTCAGCGAGATCTCGGCGGGTCGGAAGTAGCCAGGAAATATGATGGAGATGTTATTGTGCGACAAGTCCAATATCTTGATATTCGAGTGATACATGCCACCTATAGAAAGAAGTGTTTCAGTATACTCAATATACCAGGAATCTCACTGATCTCCCTCACCATGCTCATTGCGGCCACTCCAGGAGGAGTTGTACATCAGCTGCTTGATTTGATTGTGGCTGACGTTGACATTCAGATTCGACAAGGTGCCCACTTGGTCGAAGTAGTCAAAGTTAAAGTTGGGCAGCTGATTGAACGCCATGTCCAGTATCTCCAGCTTGGGCAGGTTTTGGAAGGACTCATCGGCCAAATTACTCAGTTTGTTGCCGCGCAGACTCAGGTACTCCAGCTCGTCCAGGTTCATGAAGGCGCGTCGCTCCACCTTGTCAATCTTATTGTCATCCAGCTGCAGCTTGCGCAGCGCCTCCAGATCGAAGAACGTGTGCTGCGAAATGGACGTGAGATGATTGAAACGCAGCGAGATCTCCTCCAGCTTAGAGTGTATGTCGCCCTGGAAGGTGCCCTTAAGCACCTGCTCAATGCGATTGTCGTGCAGCTCCAGTAAACGCAAGTTCTTCAGAAAATGGAAGCTCGTGTCGCTCATGGTGCTAATGTGATTGTTGCTAAAGTCCAGCTCCTGCAGGGAGGTCAAATGGCGCAGAGGCTCGGCGGGCAGGGCACTGCCCGAATAGCCATGGGCCATCTTTAGCGAAATGAGAGAGTGACCAATCTGTAAGGAGAAAACACCATTCAGTAATTCGTTGCAGTCACTCCCCCAATTACTCCCACCTCATGGAATGCATCGTTCTCAATGCTGGAGATTCCATTCTCACTGAAGTCCAATCGCTTCAGACCGCGCACATGCTTGAAGGCATGCGATTGTATGCCCGAAAGGCTGGCGCGTGTTATCTGCAAGTCCTCGAGCTCAACGCCAAAGTCCTTGAAATCCTCCGGACCCACAGAGGTGGTGCCCATGCGCGAAATGGACAGCGAGCGCATGTTCCGCATTCTGGTCATACTTTTTGAAAATAAATACAAGAACGATTTGCTCGGGTAAAGGGTGTGTGGGGTGCAGGAACTCAATTGTGCTGGGGTCCACTTACTTGCGTAGCGTTTGCAAATTGGTTGGATCATTGCGATCCCCACTCAGGTCCAGCTTGAGCAGTGTATAGTGCATGGCATTAAACGTTTCCGTGGGCTTCGGTATTTTGATCTTATTGTCACGCATGCTAATGACCCTGTAATGGGCACAGAACGGGTGGATTGGTTTCGTCAATTATAGCTGCTTATTGTTATATCGTTTCTCGTCACGTTCTTCGAAACCGGGTCACACACTTAGCCCACATTGGCGAAGCCCCACATTGTAGGGTACCGGACAATCGGATTAGGGGCTGTTTTTTCTCCTCTTCTTCTTGTTTCTTCCAACCAAACTCACCTCAAGACATCGAAATTGTTGAATAGCTTGTGATGCAGCTTGGTTAAATTGTTGCCAGACAGATCCAAAATCTGTAAACTGTTCACCAGACTATCGAAAGCCATGGGCGAGATATTGGTCAGACCACAATAGCGCATATAAATCTCACGTATCCGAGCTGGCTTGAAGGCATCGTCCTATAAAAGAAAGTAGCGTATTTATATACCTAATCCACTGCCTGGCAGCACCCACCTTAAGCGTATGTATGGGATTGCCATCGAAGAAGGTTCTATTGACTGTATCGAAATACTTGAACGAGTTCGGCGGCAGCACTTCTATGTGATTATACTCCAGATGCAGATTGTCCAGGTTCAGTTTGGTGCTAGCCTTTATGTCGTAGGTCTCATTGCCGCTCAGTGACCAAATCACATTGTGTGATATATCCAAAGTGCGCAGGCTCTTCAGCGGACCTAGTGCATCATAGGGTATCTCCGACAGTATATTGTCGGTGAGCAGCAGACGCGTCAGTCTAGGCATTCCATCCACGAAGACATTCGGATCGATCTCGAATAGATTATTGCCGCTCAGATCCAAGGTCTCCAGATTAAGCAGACCCGAAAAACTGTGCGACATGAGCATGGAAATGCAATTCTCGCCCAGAATCAAAGTTTGCAGCGATTCCTCCAACCCACGAAACGAATCATGGTGAATGGTCGTTATATGATTTTGTGATAGATCCAAAACTCTCAGCTTTTGCAGGTGACGCAACGACTTTGAAGGTATCTCAACTAGATCGTTTTGTGGCAATATGAGCTCCCACAGAGATCGCTCCAAGCCGGTAAAGGCATCATCTGGTATTTCAGTCAAATGATTGCCCGAAATCTTAAGTCGATACATGCCCGTCGACTGTAGAAAGTAGGGCTCGATCTCGCGCAGACCCGTGTTTTCCATGTGCAGCATGAAAACCTATTACAGAGATTAGCTCAACTTCAGTATAACGATTGAGCTGCACCTACCTTGGACTGGTTAACCATGCGCGGCAGTGCAGGGAATGGCACATTCTTGCAATGCACAATGCCCAGATCTGTCGACGATTTGGAGCATGTGCACATCACATTGTATGTGCAGGGCGGGTAGCGAGTCTCCTCCATCTCGCGACTGAACAACGAGGCACGCGCTAAGGACATCCATATCATAATAATAAGCGTTATGGTTAGAAACGCATAGCCGAACTTAAAGAAGAACTCCAGACCCTGAGAAAGAGTTGAAATGGATGGATAACCAGTTGAAGCCTTAGGGATTCATTGCGGCAAAGCCAGATTGTAAATATTTAAGGAAGTGCTAAAGTCTGTTGGCATTGAGGGGCTTCGCGTGGTTTTTGGCTCTTTCTTTAGTTTTCTTTGTTTCGTGGTCAAGCGAATAATTCAACCCTTGAGCAACAAAGAAAAGAGAAGGCTTGCACTTTTACGGTACGTGCGTAGGGTATTAAATGTCCTCTATCCTTTTTATGTATTCCACATTTAGTTTCAATACACTGCCAGAGGATTTTACATTTTCCAAGTCTTTCACGATAAATTTGGCTTCCTCAGTTAGAGAAGATCTGTACATAGCAGGATAACGAAATTTGCTAATATACTTATTTAGTAAGACTTTAAGGAAAGCCAGCCTGATAATTGGACTCATTATTGCTGAATAAATATAATATCCTATTCAACAGAAAGTGTTGCTTTCCAGAAATAGAAAATACTAACACCTATTAACAGTGAAGTTTTCAGTTTTTAGTATTTCATTCTCAAGTTTTTTAAATTATTTTAATCCCAGTAATTGAGACACATTCTCATATATACCACGCCTTAGATAGTTTCAGTCTGTTATAAGCAATTCATAATTTTTTTTTTTTTTTTTTTTTTAATAAAAATAAGTCTAAGCTAATTTACTCTTCACCACGACACAAGAAAAAATTTCTTTTTTATGATCTCAAGAAAGAAAGAAAGTCCTTTGTAGATATAAATTGATAGTTTTTATATTTCTATTAAAAATGGTATATTAGAATAAGGCAGTTTTTTATTAACAGAAGTAATATTTCTTTAACAATCCAGAGATCATCTTTTTTCTCTATATATGCACTGTCTTGTATAATACACACCATTTTGTTAATTGGATTATCGGTGCGCGATAATTGGCATTTAGAATGTAGTTAAATTAAATAAATGAACAAGGCTTTCTTTTGCGTATTTTTGCATATATTTATTTATAACTATGCGTGGCACAGGATGTGCGTCACTTTGTTGAAGCCTTGTGAACTTGCAGCCGAGTGTGTGCGCCAACGAATAATCCTTTTCTTTCTTTCTTGTCTTAAATATATTTGTATAATTGCCGTTTTAAAGCGCGACACGTCCGAACCGCAGCGCGTTCCACGCACATCTGAGACTTGAAAATCAATCGGGCTAAGCATTTGTCGACGACAGACTGGAGCATTGCACTAATTGGATTGTAACATTTTTGGGGGCTGTTTGCCGTGGCGCCAGCTGCACATGAGCTGGCCATTGGGCACACGTTTGGGCCGATTTATAGCATTACTTAACGCTTGGCTGCAAATATGCTCATTTCCTCGGCGTGTTTGCACTTTGTTTAGAATATGCCAAGCAAAACGCACGCTAATTGTGTTTACTATCAGCATTTGAAATAAATAGATTTAGAGCCTTGAGCGATCCAAGACAATTGCATGGATTAAAACTTGTAAGTATTCAGACGACATGATTTTGGTCTGCGGCTCTTGCAGTGCGATAAGCAGGTTGTAAGGTTAAGCGACAAATATTTATGATTAAATACATAGTAAATATACAAATAATTAGACAAAACAAAACATCAATTTCTATTTGAGCGTGCGAATTTTTCGGTAGACCCAACAATGATATGTACGCTCCTTGACTAGCTCCTTATCTGCAATAAAGAGTATACGAAATTCATATATAAATATCTTATATTTATAGAAAAGAAAATGAAAAGTTTGTGCTTCAACTAACCGTCGGATTGAAAGCATTTCGCCAGCTCAGGCGGACAAATGTTTTCCAAATTAAAATAAAATGTGGTCGTGTTCTCCCTATATTTGTTCTGAGACTTCATTGTTATTTGGCGTGTGTGTGGATCCTTGCCATCCAAGTGTTCGCGCACATAATGCGCAGATAGCTGAATGCCAGCCACATCGCTTAAATTATCATCAATGCTCTCCACCAGGCGCGGCTGCTTGTTCAACAGCTGAGTGCAGACATCAGCGTAAACTGAATAAATAAATATTATATATGAATAGTGATTTTAGGATAGATTGCTCAACAAGTGCACTAACCGTTGGGTAAATTCAAGTTCACATGTATCATCAACAGATGCTCCAACGAGCAGTGTATTTGAAACAGCTTGGATATTTGCAGCATGCTCTCCTTCTCATTAAAGTTACTATTCTTAAAGCCAGACAAATCGTCATTCTGATAATTGGCGCCGGTTTGCTTGCCGCCCGCGGTGTTGTGCAGCAGCGTCTTGCGTATGCCACCACCACCACCACCCGGCGCATCACCTCTCATGGCATTATGCAGCGATTTGCGCAACTTGGACAGATCATTCGTTGAGGAGCCATCGTTTATGTCAGAAGTGGCCGATTCACTGCTACCTTTTAACAGACTAATACTGCAAATTTTGCTCTCCGTAAAGATGAACTCGTAATCCTTGTGGACCTTCTCCAAACCGATTTCCAGCAACAATTCCAAAGGCTCTGTACCGCTCAGGCAGGGCATGGCCAAACGACTGTTGGCCAAATTTGCAATGATTTCAGCCAACCGATTTTTATTTGTTGGTGTGTTCTGAAAAGATGGAAAGAATTAGTTTGATAGCAAGAATTCTGTAATCAGGTTAGGTACCACAATATTGCAGCGCACAGCGCATTGAAAGAGGATGTTGAAGGCTAGTTTCAAATCCTTGTAGCAAGAGCAAGCTGTTGAAAGTTAAAATGATTAGCATAAGTAGTAATAAATACAAAATGCCTGAGATACACTTACATTTGAGCAACTCCCACAGTTTGTCGGTGAGATCCATGAGCCTGCGCTGCTTAGCGCGCTGCACCACCTCCTCAATATCATACTCCGCATGGCCATCCGTAAAGACGTCCGTAAAGCCAGAGACCTCAGTCATTGTTTTGTTAATGGATTCACGCAGTTCGTCCATGTCAATGCCGCTGCCACAACGATAGACCGGTTCCCGTTGCACACCCACCCGCTCATCGTTGTGATAGCTAACGATGTCTTCGCGTATGTACGCTAGGATGCGCAGCTGGTTCATGAAGTCCTCCGTCAGAGGGCCGCAATCGCCCACACGAAATGCCTGATTTAATAACACATTGCAGCCGCTCAGATTGATGAGCAACGGCAGTGGTGCTGGTGTCGACCAGCTGCATAGTATCGTCATGTGCGGATTAATCTGATAGCTGTTCTCAATGTATGTCTCTAGTTGTGCGCCTGCGCTTAGTCCGTGCTGTCGCACCAGAGACTGGGATGACACCATATAGGCGGGCATTACGCCCGAATAGCTGACTATGCCGCGAGAGAAGTGCGTCGGATGGTATTCGTATTGCAGTAGCAGCGTGTGACCAAAGTCGCTGCCATCGCAGAGAAACCAAACGGAGCCCTGACCATCGGCCTGTTGAAACGATTCTGTGCAGATGATCGCACGCGCTTTATCCGCCGGTATGCCTCGATGATATTCCTCATCCGGTTTCCAAGGATTCCGATTGACTATATTCAGATCCAGCGAGAGATCGGCAATAGCATCCACAATACAGTCGTCTTTCAGCGGACTGCCAGTTAGATCCAAATCTGTATTGGGTGATCGACGCTCCGGTTTCAGTAGCAGCTTGGTGGGCGTGGCCGTCGTAATGCCGCCACTGCGATCCTCCTTGTAGACAAAAACAATTTTATTTGCTGATTCGCGCGCACCAGCCAATCTAGTTAAATAACTTGGCGGCACACTATATGTGATTGTATGATTATCACCATATTTACGCATCAGCTCAGCGTAAATATTTGCCAGATTAACATGCATTATGTATAAATAACAAAAGTTCACTTTATACTTGATATGCCGCCTTAATTGAAGTAAAATGGCATCTAGAATCTTAACAGTGAGTCTGAAAAATTGAATGGAAAACTGCCGTTACTCAGTTAAGACATTGTGTTCCATAACGTGATGTTAAAAAGCATATAAAAAATCCAAATGATTATATTAATTTACAAAATAATTCTATTAAACGAATATTTTAAAAAGTGAATATTGCATTTTTTTTTTGGCTGCAATTGGCAGACAACAGACTTATTTAGCCCATTTCAGGCGGCAAGTTTGATTTGGGGTTGCCTTGAATCGGATTATCGATGCTACCATGAACTACAAGACAAAAGCTAATTGCTACACTTAAATATATGCGCGCGGCACATATTCTTATCGATAACCATTTGCGGTTCGCACGTGTTGGCTTTGTTTTTATTTAGTCAACTTCTCTTAATAATATAATATAATATAATTTTAAAGCATGGCTGACTTTGAATTACAAGACAGTGGCTCAGAATTCGATTCAGAGGACAATTCCGATGCTGAGGTATGTAAATAACACTATTAAAAAGTCTGCAAATATTTATGATTTACAATTTTAACAGCTGCAAGCGGCTTTCGAGCGTGGAGATCTAAAACCTGGTCTTAATGTTGAGTTCAGCGGACAACGAAATAAAATAAATGATATAGTAAGCTAAACCAGTTGAACTTGAACTATTGTACTAAAATTTATCAATATTCCCAGACCAAACTGTTGGCCAAAGCTCACGCCATACGCCTGGATCTACCATGGGTGGAGCGCCTGGATATGATCAACAATTTGGCTCCTCTGGCACCCGAGCTGGCTGTACAGCTCGAAAAGCACGAACAGAAACGTGCGAATCAGTTTAAGGGAAATGCCAAAATACCTTATGTTCGACCCGAAGAGGATCCCGTCCTAAATGACTTTAAGCGTGAAATGTTGTTCCATCGCCAGGCACAAAGTGCGGTGCTGGAGGGCATAAAGCGACTGCACGAGCTGGGTATTAAGACGCGTCGTCCCGATGACTATTTTGCCGAAATGGCCAAGTCGGACGAACACATGCAAAAGGTGCGCGCCAATCTAATGGCCAAGCAGCAAGGACAAGCCAAATCCGAGCGCATTAAACAAATACGCGAGCAACGAAAAATGGGCAAAATGCTGGCCAAGCAGACCAAGGTGCAGCGCGAAGCTGAGAAGAAAGAGATGCTCGATAAGCTGAAGAAATTCCGCAAGGGCAAGCTTAAAAATCTGGACTTCCTTGAAGATGCCAAAGCCTTAGAGTCCAAGCAGAAGCAATCGGCAGACAAACGCAAGCTGCGCAACAAAAAGTTTGGATTCGGTGGCAAAAAGAAGGGTCTCAAACGCAACACCAAGTCGTCGGCAGCTGGTCTTGACTCAGAGAAATCCACACGTCGTCAACGCGGCGTCAAGGCCGGTGCCTCGGTCAACAAACGGCTGGGCAAGTCCAGGCGCATGAAGGCTAAGGGCAGAAAGTGAATCAGGATTAAGGGACAACAAAACTAGATTTATAAATGCCTTCGTTTAGATTTATTATAACTAAATACATTTCATATGTACATAAAAGTGTATGCTATATATCAATTATATAAATATTTCAACTACTCCGCTTGCTTATGCTTTTTTTTCTTTTTCTTTGATTTGGCAGCCGGCGCAGGTTCGCTTTCTATGCACTCAATAACCAACTTCCGCTTCTTAGACTTCTTTGTTGGCTCATGCTCCAGCTCAATCGCATTATTCTCAGGCTGCTCTTCATCGACCTCTTTACATTTATCCTTCTTTTTCTTCTTTTTAATTTTATTCGACTTCTCAGCTTCCTCACCAGTTGTCTGCACTTGTTTTCCCTGCAGCTTGGCCAACATTTCGCGCTCCTGCTGCTCTATGCGCGCCAGCTTGCCGCTCAATTTGAGTCCATGGCGTGCGCCTTTGTGAGCTGTCCGACCGCCACATGCCTGGAATAGTTGCTCATCGGTCAGCACTTGCACTTTGGCAACAGCAATGTCCTCCACCTTGATGCGTTCCTCGTTCTCCACTTCGCCACCGTCTTGGGTAAGCAGCGCAGATTTTAGAAAATTACCATACACGGCTCCACTATAAGAATCTTTTTGCTGATCCTTGGCCTTTTTCAATTTACGCGCCGAATAGCCCTTGGTCGAAATTTCCACAGCCTCTTGGCCAGCTTTGCGCGCTGTGCTCACCTGTCCATTCTGCTCCACTTGAACAGATACATTCGATGCTGCCTCGTTGAAGCATCGCTCCCACCAGTGATCATTGAATTCTGTGGCGCGATCAACGCCCAGGCCAGCATTATCAAATTTTAGACTCGCTTTCAATGGAGCCGCTATGCCATTATTATTTTTACCTAAGCCATCGCCTTCTTTCCAACCGTATTTACCCAAAATCTTCTTCCCAAAATCCATGAACAATGTGGTTTTTATTATTGTAAATTTATCGGTTACATATTTCCAAACTAATCGATAGTCCGCAACAGCGTGTTTATGCCACAATGCAGGGTTGTATTTTAGGCGGTAAAATTTAAACATGCAAACGGGGTGCCATCATACGAGGCTTTTCTAGCTGAAATTTGTTGTACAAATTTAAATATTTATAGAATATCAAAACTACAAATCATCTTTCCTTAACACATTCAGTTTTCCTTTATTTCATATTCCTTCAAATACCAATTCTTCTCGTTACTCTAGCCAATAAAACAAACCCCACTTTATTCGATTATGTGACAATGATTAAGTGGCATTCAAGAAATAATTTAACAAATAGAAAAACATGTTTTAAATACAATAAACTTAAAGAAACGTTATCAGTACGCGCCACATAATTCAAAAAGTGTAGAAGACGACACAAAAGCAAACATTTCACGCCCTCGCCAACAGCCGGTCTCGATTGGCTACGAGAGTTGGTAGCACGTGCTGCCCCTGCCGCCGCGACAGTCTGATGCTGTTGTCAAGGCCTTTGGGGGGAGAGAGAGCCGAGGAACACGGACAACCAACTCACAGAATGATGGAGAGGGCGCAGCATGTCGATTTCTGTGTAGTCACCTGCGTGTGGGGTCTGCTGATGCGGTGTGAATTTGAAGCTTGCATGGATTAAAATTTAATTTTAATGTTTACAATTTCAATCTCAACTTTTATATCGTGTGTCTTCGTTATGTTTATCTCGATGCACTTCTGCCGAGTTTATTCCAATGTATTCTTTTTTATTAGCAGTTTGTGGTTTTTTCTTCCTATTTTGGCTTAAACTTAAATAGAAGATGTGTTGAATCTGCGCGATGATCTTGTTCTGCGATTGATTTAGGCGATTRCTACAGTTTCGAATGTTTTTTAAAAACAAAATTACATATATTATGTTGTTGTTGTTGTTATTTTATAATTAGATAGTACAGGATGTTGTTGCCTATCAATCATTTATCAATAATAATCGAAAAACGTTGTTGGTGTTGGTTGCTTATTTGTTGAAGTTGTTGTTTCTTCTTTACTTTGCTTTCTCGTTGCCCCTGACTGTCGCTAGCATGCAGATGGCCATCGGGATAGATAAATACCCCAAATGCCCACATCAACATACACACCGACAAACAATTGCACGGAAAATTGAAGGACGAGTAGCGGCGCTTAGAAGGCGAACAGCAACAGGAAGGCCATCATAAGACAGAACAGACCCATAGCCTCAGACAGGGCGAAACCCAAAATGGCGTACGAGAATAGCTGCTGTTTCAACGATGGGTTTCTGGCATAACCAATGATGAGGGAACCGAATACTGTTCCGATACCAGCACCTGTTGTATTGGTCGGATAGCGCGCGATTTATACAGAAAAAAGATAGAAAAAGAAATACAGAAAAGATTAATCAAACTGTACAGATATTAAGAATATTTATATGGAAACCACATCGGCAGCTGCCGATGGAAACTCGCTTCTTCAGCGAGCAGCCATATACCATATGCAATGGAAGTCCTCTGCCCAGTTAGCCCATACTCATCTGCTTTAGGGAGACCAGTCAGTCACAGATTAGTCTGAATTGAGTTCTACGCACCTCAGAGTTGAGGTGTGCAGCAAGCACATCGCACTAAAATTGCTGGTCACGAAAGCTTTCAATGCAACATGGCCGGCGGCAGGTTATGCGGCAACAGCCATGCTGCAGCATTTCTGGTACTTTCGCCTTGTGATTACACAAGTTTCCTGCTAGGAAATGAAGCTCCACGACACACAATCACCTTTCAGCTTTTGAGCGTTGTTACGGCAACAAGGGAGCTTTGACCAAATCTCAGACCTTCCCGGGGCTATCATAAAGAGTAATCAGATACTCGTTGTGTGTGCCCCAGATGCTAGATTGTAACTGACTGAAGACAAGTATGTGACCGTTGGATAGGAGAATTGAACATAGGCTATACAGTGATAAAGATCGGACAAATCGCAAGCTTAACGAAAACCAATACGAACCGGAACCAGCGACACCGACTGTTGCAGCACCAGCACCAATGAATTTGGCAGCCGAATCAATGTCACGCGTGACTGGCGAGGTCTGGAATGACCTGATCTGTGGCAGTAATGCTACGGGGGTTGTGTTCTGAGCGGCCAAAGTTTGGCTCTGGCTGATGACGGCGCTGCTCAATGGTCGCAAGTATTGCTTGGAGTTGGCGAGGAGCTGCAATAAGAAAATAGGGAAAGGTTAAATTATGTAACTAGATAAGCTGACAGTTTAGTTACATCTTTCATGTGAGATAAAAAGAAATTTGTTATTGTTGTGGTTGTGGTTGTTGTAGGCTTTGCGCGTTGACATTTTGCATCCCATTGCCAAGTTATGCAATGCGTTAAGCAATTTGGATTTTAGCCATTTGGCAGTCGAATTGTTGTTGTTGTCATTGAAGAAGACAGCAAATAAATTTAATAATTATAGCTGATTAATGTTGTCAATTAACTTTTTTTTAATTAGAGTATTGATCTATATAGCTTCAACGGAATTGATATGAGAGCTTTCACCGGTTCTAACCTCAACCATTATCAGCAACAAAGTTACTATAACTTGTTATACAATGCTTACACTGCATTTCAATCGCTTAATTTTATTCCAGAATAAATCGAATTTTATAAAAGTCTGTCGCATATGCGTTTAAATTGCTTTGCATTTTTATAGATTAAAAAGTTGCAGCTATGAAGAGCACATAACCTCAATTTTTGCTTTCAACTTATGTAACTGTATGTGTTTTCCATTGGAATTCCAAGTCACCACAGTCGCAGCATAGATATTTTTTTGTAGCACAATGAAAATCGATGCGGCTAAGAATTATGTAATTAGCAATAACAAAATCACATAACTATTTATCTCACTGAAAGAGTTAACACGTTTTCTACTTACCGCGGTCCTGGCAACGGGGGCAATGCGAGAGACTGTCGACACGAACATTTTTAGTTGAATTTTAATTGGCGTTTCGCACAAAATTGAAGCAAGCGCACGGAGCTCTGCAAAAGATATAGATGTAGATTTTTTGTAAATATATATTTTTATTTATATATATGTGTAAATATATAATTGTTGCGAATCGGTGTTGCAAACGCCGCTGCCCGCCTGCAAGTTGCTGTTGGTTACGTAATGTGAAAAAATGTATCTATCCACATAAATTAGAAGAATTCTCAATTAAATCGGCAACACAAATCAATCGGAAATATAAATTCGAGCTAGTTTCACTTAATTTTCTTAAACTAACACTAATTTTCTTCAAATCGTTGAACTTTTCTAGTGACGCAACGACTTCACACAGTAACACTGACAGTTCTCTTCATACGCCCGTGTGACATCTTGCATGAGTGTGTGCGTGAGCCGCAAGATGGCGACATTGAACACGTTTGAAAAAATATTATATTCACTTGTTTTTGTATTCTTCACTCTATTCCACTAATTATTATTAAAAACAATTGTATTTGGAATAATTATTTTTTTGTATTTCCATTCGAAACTGATTATTCAACCAGCAGCAGCTGCAGGAGGCATGGTGGGGGTGCTCCACATTTTTAATTTCAGCGAAAGATATGCGTCCAACTCACTTCGAACAAACCCTTAACAACAGTGGAACCGTATTAAACGCGAATTTTTACTTTACCCTACAGTCGTCGTGCAATTCTTTGCTGTGGTGAATTGGAAGTTCACCTGGAAAGTCAGCGAGCGCATGATTGCATATCGATAAGCAATATGTATATTTTACAAAATAGCGGTGCTACCACCGAAGAACCTAAGCTTGCTTTTTATGCATAAATAATGTTTAGTTAAAAATTATTTCTGCATATTTTACTAAATGTATATACAAAGTCTTATATGTATACATATTACAAATAATTTTCTGAGTTAAGAAGCACGCAAGTACAAACGTATGACATGCAGTGGTAAACGTTCGAGGGAATATGTCTTGAAGTTCTAACTTGAATTTCTAGGTATTCGCAATTCTATTAATGTAGATTAAATTATTATTCCATTTACCTTTATCACTAACCTTTATTATGGGAAATTAATTATGTTATCAATTATCTATATGAATTGCAGTCCTGGCCTGTGGTGAATTGGAAAAAATCTTGGAAGTTGATGCCGGTTTAACTTACCAGCCCTGAAATCGCGATTTTCGTCAACAAATTATAAAGTTTTTTAAATTTGGTTTGAAAATACGATTTTAGAAATGTTGACTAGCACTTAACATGACAAATCTTAATCTGAACATAATCCTGCAAAGAGTTGCATCCAATCTAAGCAAACAGCACTTTGATTAGAAAGTTTTGGCGCGCAAATTTCAAATAATAATAACCAATTATTATGGATGTATTATACTAAATTTAATAAATGCCAAACTCAGTTGGATAATTCGCTGAGATTATTAGGCATTAGACGGTTTATAAGGTAATAAAAAATATTTACCTTTCGTTGACCTTATCGAATATTCATCGAATAGTTATCCAGCCCTGGTCCGCATACAGCCACGCGTCGTGGTGTCGTCACGTCGTCTGGTTTATGTTATAAATTGAGTAATTTAAAGCCCACCACAATTGAAACAGGATGCTGTAAGTAGTGGAAGCTTTCTGAATGTATATCTAAAAACGCAAAGCGTAGATTTAGTGCCAAGGTAATCATAATATAATTTTATGTGTCATTGCAGCCCTCAATTGCATAACAGCGTTTTTGCATAAGTGTGTGTGTGTGCGTACGGCCAGGGAGGAAACACAAATACATACTAATCGACGGATCGTTTCTCATTTCATCTGGCTTGCTCATTAACAATAACTGCTATAATCAAATTCGATATTCGCTGCATATTGCATTTTCGCTGGACTTAATTGGTTAATTGTATAAATTGGCTGGAACGACGCCGGAGAATTGTTTTGATTGCCAGCTATCGTATACATCGATAACTAATTATACGCGATAGTTACCCATCACCCACAGTATTCATTTGAACAAGCTTAACAGAAATAAGTAACAGCTTAGCAAACTGTTAAGTTCTTGGATGCCAGAAATATAACATTAAACAAACAGTGACACTTACATAACGCGCAGTCACAGTCGTACGTCGAGTGATATGGCCGTGTTTCTGATCAACATCTGCAAATTCAATGGCTGTTTTAAAACTTTTCCAAGTCTGAACGACTTAATATCACACATCGAGGGTACACACATAGGCAAGTACTTAAAATAACAACAATTAGTGCAATAAACAAGTGCGAAAGTGTTTAAAATAACAATGACAAACAACATTAATTAGTCGCGTGATGAGCGGGACGGCATTGTATCGACGCCGCTGACATAGTCGGCACTCTGTGTTTTGTTTATTTAATTTATTTATATGTACATAGTATATACAGGTTTGTCAGACTGTTTGAGTGTGTGTGAGAGTGATTGCGTGTGCGTGTGCATATGCCCATTAAATTGTAGGTAATCTTGTGAGAGTGTGCATATAAATACACACCCGTTGTAGCGTTTCGGTGTATGAATAAAATATTGTTTTCGTTCGGTATCGACTGCCCAGCCCTGAAAACAATTTTAGCTGTGAAACGGCACACACATTTGAAATGATGGCAAAATATATTGCTGCAGTGCAATAATATCAAAGTGTGCCATGGAAAATCAATATGGCCAGGCCTTAAATACGCACGCACGTTTTAATGCGTACGCGTCGTCGCCTTCAATTGAAACAAGCGAGCGCATTCACAATAGGCGACAAGCCAAGCTGAATTACCTGTGCTCGCACTCACACACACACATACACAGGCAAATGTCCATTCGTGGCATGTACAGCATTCATTCTATACAATTACACACAGATATATATGGGTGTATGCATGTATGTGGGTACGCTTGGTTTTGTTACGCCAAGTATACAAGTGTGAGCGAGAACGCAGTTGCGTGGCAAGCAAAAACAACAAAAGCAAGCAAAAAGCCGGTGATCCATTAAACAACAACAATACATACATATGTGTTGCCTTAAGTGTGTTAGTGTATGTGTGATTGTGTGAGCCGCCAGCGTAGCAGCAGCAGCAGCAGCATCTGTACCCCAGCCGGCAAGGGCAAGTGAGCGCCTTTTCTTGTGTGTGTGTGTCGGGCTGTGTGTGTGTGTTTGACCTGTCTTTGGCTTGGGTTTGGGCTTGGGATTTTAGCGCGTCTTTTGCAGGTGTTATCACCTGTTCGGCACAAGTATCTCATCAGTCGAGCGGTGACAAAACTTGTGCTCTAGTTGCACCCACGCTGGTAATCAATTCATAGGTGTCTGATTACGTGCATTTCCCTACAGTGAAAGCTCACCTAAGCGAATAACCTATTATTCTTCAATAAGAAAAGGTATATACACATACATATAGAAAGATATATAACACCCAATCTAGCTAATACTCAAGGGAAATACTCAGGGTTCATTCAAGCGAATTGTTACTGTAAACAAGTTACGTGAACCGAAGCCGGCTGGCGTGGATAAGCTAGATGTGAGTGTTGGAAAGCGACAAAAGAATGATATAATTGGGCTAGCCGGGCTTTTCACAAAAAAATATGTCTAATTTTAGACCAGGTACTTAACAGTGACGCCAGTGTATGTGTGTGTGCGTGTATTTGTGAGGGGGTGGAAAATCAATAAAAATAAGCTCAGTGTTGCCACTTGGCTGCAATGGGTGTTCGGGCATAGGGGTTGAGTGTGTTACGTGTGCCCAGGGGGTGTTTTACATATTGGTGGTGCGAGACTCGAGGGCTGTTTCAGCCCATTTATTTATACTTCATTTATATTTGTAAATGATTATGTCTGCATAACTTAAGCCGAAATTTGAGTGCGCATCGTGTCACGAACTGGCAGTAGTCAAAGCGAACTTGAATAAGTTGGCACCATTTCACGCTAACATTAATCATAGAAGTCAAGATAATAAATTTAAAAAGACGATTATATTGTTAGAACCCAATCAAATGAAATAGGCGTTGTAGATAAGCGATAAGGGGATGAGCGAACATTTGAGAGAAAATTTATGAGCCTGAAACATCATTTACAAAAATAAATACATTTCAATTAACAACAAAATATATTATATAAATTCAGAATAAATTGTACTAAGAATTGTGTGCCGTTTCGCCCAAAGTGCGCTCCTCACTAACGTAAATATTGGGGTGGCATCAAGCTCAGCTGACTATTACAGCTATAAGTAAGCAGCTGTTTGTTGTTGTTGCTTTGACTGCGGCTGCGACTGCTGCTGCTTAATGCTGCTACTGGTATTGGTGCTTTGATAACGGTCAGCAGCAAATGGCGTCGTTGACAGGCGCTGGCTGGCATTACATAAAATTTGTATGGTTAATGGCGTCCACGCCCACGCACCTCCCTTGGCCATATATACATAAATGTATATGTATGTTGAAATGAATTTATCTAATATAGTTGTGTGCCCACAAGCTTTCAGTGCGATATCAGCTCGAAGGACTTTTGCCATTTACTTTATGTACATGCATACATATATAGTTTTTATGTGTGTGTGTGTAGATGCGTATGTATGTAATTGCTTGGCCCAGTTGGTTAGTTGTCTTACGGTTATCGCATCGCAACATCTCTGTACATGCTTTCAGTCGTCAACAGCACGGGAGTTGGGAGTAGTTTTTTTTTCACGATTTCCTTTTGCTGTTATGGCAACGCCGTCGCAAGACCTTCAAGTTTGTCCTTTGCACAGTTGCCAGGCACCTGTTGTGTATACACACATACACTCGCACATATGCGCATACATATACATAGATATAAATATATACATATATCTTTAAGCGCAGCGTGCACTGTTGATTTATCGATAATTTGTGCATACTGTGAAATGCAATATGCCGTTACATATTTTGCAATATGTTTAGGTCGATATGTGCCAAGCCGGCGCGGAATGTTGTTAATCCAATTTGTTAACAATATTTCGTTTGGTTTTCCAGTCAGTGACATTCTGGACGCTCATTATCAAATTTCGATATGAGCATTGCACAAATTTTGCACGCCCAAAAAGCAAACACAGAACATCTGTATATATATAAAGAGTATATGCACATATTGAATACATATATTTTTGTGTATGTATAATTATTATCTGCAAAGAAAAAAAAGTAATTCTGCAACAAGTGAATGACTCAGATGACGACGCAAAAGCAATAAGAATAACAGGAATAACAGCAGAGAATCGTTGTTTATATTTATTTTACGTTTAAAACTGCGAATGTATGGTAGCGATACGCGCATGCATAAATATCTATATAGATGTATATGTGTTAGATGTATACGTATAGCTAAATCAACTTTGATTCAAAACAAATGTGCTGCAGTATTTGAAAATTTGATAAACCAACTGTCAGCTGAATATTGTCACCAAGCGAGAGAGACACATGTGAGAGAGTAACAAGAACTGGTGGACAGACGGACGGCAACGACTGTCTAAGGTTATCAAGAAAATAAAAACAACAACAGTAACAATAACAAATCATAACAATAACGACTGTAAAGAAATATAAACAACAAAATAGTAAACTGATTTGAGCGTAACAAATGACGCTGGCCGGGCGGCGATCATAGACATAGACAAAGGCAAGCCAATACGCCACTCCGTTTTCATCAATCAGCAAAAAATAAATACAAATAACTGTTAGCCATAAATTGTTAAACAACAGTTTTAAAATTCATATTTGCTTTACAGTACGTGAGCCGCCCCATTGGGAATGTGTCAGCGATTGCAGGGCACGTAGTCATCATTTTAGTAATAGCAACTGATAACGCACACATTAGTAGAGTTCTTCTGATATACATTTACATTATGTGCGCACATATGTTTCTCAATCAATTTTCTAATTTGTCGCATATGTTTTATATTTGTTCATAGCGAATCGCAGTGCATTGTTATCGACCCATCGCTATCGCTTCGTATCCAACGATAAGAGATGGGCAGGATATTTCGATTACCTGTTGCGCCCCAATCGATTGCATTTTGTCTGCAAGTTGTCTCTAGTGTACGGAGTGAATGTGATTGGCTGCTTGCACTAAATAGTAATGCCATGTGCGGTCGCGGAGGTTAGGTTACACACACATGCGCGAGTAATGAGCCAATCACCTGTGCGCTGCTGTTATGCATGCACTGGGTTGATCAAGCAAACTTTGAGCTTATGCTTGTCGTCTGTTCGCACGATAAGATAATCACACACATGTGCTCGCCTGTGGCCCGAATCCCCCGGCACATACCCCTATGTACAACAATTAATATATATACTTATATATGTATGAATTTGTTGGTGTGTGTCCACAATCACAAGACCCCCATAAAAATGCGTCAGCAACCGCATTACGAGCACTGTGGGCCACTCGGAACAGAATATTACAAGCGCTTACATTTATTTGTTTATTTATTATTTCAACTTTTCAATGGAGGCAAGTGCTGGTGTCTGTTTCGTGTTTCTATCCACATTGGAGATGAAAGTGTGTCGTGTTTAAATCTCTGCCACGATATAATATAACGATAAGATAAAATCCACACGCAAAACAACACCCCAAATGTGGGTATATACCCATTCTTGAACTAATGATCTTTAAATTGCCGAAACAACCTAAAAACCCGTCTGAGTGTTACAATGAAATTAAACTTGTTTCAGTGCTTAATTAAACCATATATTATTTATACAGAATTAGCATATAAGAAATATATGTATATATATACATATATTTCTAATTTATGGCATTTTGAAAATGATTGTATTGTATGCAGGTTACTTGTCTGTGAACCCGTATTGGGTGTCAATTCGGAATTAGGTGTTCATATAAAACTCAAACAATACTCATCCATCATTCTTTCGCCCTATTTCTCTCTGCAGACTATGATCCTCAGGTGGTCGAGCAAAAAGAGCTGGCACCGCCTGCGTCTTTGCCGTTGAGCTATGTGCTCCGCTACATCTCAGATGATGCTCGCAAGGAGACATCCACTTTCCTAATCAACAACACCAGCAGCAACAACAACAGCACCAACAATGCCGGCAGTGGCAATGCGGGCAATGCGGAGCTCAAGCGCAAGCTTGCGATTAAGCATCATAGCTATAGCATGTCATCGTCAAATCGCAGCAATACGCCCACAGGTAAGCACCGCTTATATTCATTTATTGGCTTGGCCATTGAGCTGATAGTCTTATCTCGCACTTTGCAGGCAGTGAAATGGACGATGATGAAATGGTTGTTTCTGAATCGGAGGACAGCAATGACTCTTGGACCACCGAGGAGTTTAGCTCTGAGTTCATTATGCGTTATGGCAGCAGGTGCGTTCCATTGCGTAAACATTATGTATTAAGCTATAATTTGTTGTTTCAACTGTTGCAGGCATTCCGGTGGCGGCAGCAATGGCACGCCTGGCAATGAGAAACCGTTTGCCTGTCCGGTTCCTGGCTGCAAGAAGCGTTACAAGAACGTGAATGGAATTAAATACCATTCGAAGAATGGCCACAAAAAGGACGGCAGGTTAGTAACCAAAAACATGTCAGCAACAAAAAACACACAAAACTCATTTGCCCATTCCCATACAAATTCCCACAGAGTGCGCAAGGGCTACAAGTGCCACTGCGGAAAGAGCTATAAAACGGCGCAAGGCCTGAAAAATCATGCGCTTCACACCCACAACTCACAGCCGGAGAGCGTGCTAACCACGCAGCAGTTGGCTAGCTTAGCGGTAGCCGCTGCGGCGGCAGCAACTGCCGATAATGTGGGCAGATGCAAGGCCGATAACAACAACAGCAGCAATGGCAGCAGCCTGACTGGAAGCAACAATGCCAACAACAATGTTGGCCTGCTGCAGCGCAGCAATTCGCCATCGCAATCACTTGGCTCGCTGAGCCCATCCAGCAGCAACATGTCGAGCAGCACCAGCGCCAGTTGTCATGGCGCAGGCAGCTTGGGCAGCAATAATTTGTCCAGCAATGCTGCTACTGCCAGCAATATGTTGCAGCAGCTAAGCAATGGCAACATTGTGACTGTAACAAATTTGCCCCAACAACAGCAACAGCAGCAACAACAACAACTTGCACTGCCACAGCAGCAGCAGCAACAACAGCAGCAGCAGCAGCAACAAATGAACGTCAGCACACAGTCGCCAAGCGTAACAGCAACAACAGCAACAGGTAACAGCAACAACAGTTTAATGCGCAGCACACTCGGTTTAGTATCCATTAAAGCCAACAACAACAGTAATGTTGCCGCTGTTGCTGGCGGCAACAACAACAACAACAACATTACCAAGTCCGTTAATTTAATAGCCGCCAATGCCACGGCCAACAAAATACTCAAGTTGGCCACCAATGTGGCAAACGGCGTGGACATTGCACAGCAACACAAATTGGTTGACAGCAACAATAGCCTGTCGAAGGCCAACGGCAGCAATGTAGCCAACGTGGCAACAGCTGTCGTCCCCAGCAGCTGCAGCACGCCCACTAAAATCACGCTGCCCAACTTGGTTAACCTGGGCATACTGACGCCGGCCACATCGCCCACCAAGAATACACAGACGTTGACTTTCACTACCACGGCCGCCAGTCAGCAGCAGCAGCAACAGCAACAGGCTCTGGTGGCAACACTCACGACCAACATGTTGCAGCAGAACCAGAAGCTGCCAAACATAACCAAGACCAACATATTGCTGCTGCAAGAGCCAACCACAACTAGCACCCATCTGATACAGTCATCGTCGCAGCATCACCAACAGCAGCAGCAGCAACAGCAACCACAACAACAGCAACACCAACATGTGCTGCCAATAAGTCCCACCAGCAGCAGCAGCAGCAAGAGCAGCTCACCCACACCGCCCCAACAGCAACAGCCGCACAAAAGCTCAAATGCTGCTGTCCTGAAGCAAAAACATGTCATGACAGCTGTGGCAGCAACAAGTGCTTCAAGCGTCGAACCCATGGACACAGATGAGGCACCACAATTGGCCAGCGATGCACTAATGTTGACGGACAGCAGTCTTTGCTCAGCGACTGCAGCTGCTGACGGCAAGGATATTATGCCTTCGACAATGACAACGGCCGTCAATTCGGGTACCATCACAGTGGCAGCCATTGAAGTTGTTGGTGCCGGCGTTGTCAACACCGAAACGTAGCCTATACTCAAGCAGCTACTAATGCGGCGCCAATGCTCGCTGGAGGCGACGCCGGCTCCTCCAACTTAAACAGCCAGCGTCGCTCCTCGTATACGAACAAAAACAACAACAACAAAAACAAAATAAAAGAAGAAAACAAACAAGAAGAACAGCAAACATTCTAACAATACACTGTAAAAGAACAACATTGTTCGCACTGCTTAGTTAATGTACTCAATTTGTAGTTATAAATTTAAGGTACGCCCCACCCCTCTGGCTGATACAGAGGTAGAAAGTGTGTGTGGGGGGTGGGCCGTCGACACTCACCAAAACCCATTGGAAAAACATTTTTTAGACTGCTTTTTAAATATTTTTTTCGGCTTATATTGTCCAGAGCCTATATAAGTTGTGTCTTTAAAAACATTTGTATTATGTATTATGAAAACGCGAATCGTACAGATTGTGCAATATGATTTTGTATACAACACTTTAGTTAGCGATTAACGGCTGATCTCCATTTAATTTAATTAGACATAGTAATATATAGACGAAGCGATTGCATATATTTATGCAACCCATTGTAATAAACTGCAAAACTTTTGAATTTAATTTCCAATCTAACAAACACTTTTATTGTCAGAACCAGACTCTATATGCCTCTATATAGAGCATGCAAAAGAAAAGTATTATTTATGTTTTAAGAATTAGCAAATTGAACTTCATATAGAATATCACACACATTTTAACATATATATTAATATATCCATCTGTACTATAAGCATTAGCCTACAGAGCTCGCATTATATATAATATATTAAGTTAACACACATTTCGAAAGATACTTTCCATTTTGGTGCAATAATTTATTTTGTATTTCTCATCTCTCAGACTTAACACAAATTATATTTCTGTTGTAATCGTTTATCTTTTGTTCTTTTTTCATATATTTGGTTTGCCTTTTGGTTTTTTGTTTTATGATTTCGTTACTTCTTTTCCTTTTCTCTCTACCTATTGCAGAAACCTCTTACTCCTGCTCACACAACAACAACAGCAACAGTAGCAACAGCAACAGCAGCAGCAACGACAGCAGCAATCAACTTGTCGCAGCCAAGTTCAATCGGCCCACAGCAACAGCAGCATCAGCAGCTGCGACAACAGCAACGACGCCAACCAGCAAACCAGCAGCGACCACGCCCATGCAAATCTCGTACACCTTCATTGAGCACAAGTATTCGCTGGGCTTCAAAGAGAAATTCTTTTCGAATCTGCGTGCCAGCCGCAATGGAACCTTGTCAGCGGGCAATGGCGATCAGCTGGCAGCAACAGCTGCTGCCATTGGGGCAGAGTCAGCGGGTAATGCAACAGTTGGTGGTGGTGGTGGTGGCAGTGGCAATGCCAACATGCTCGGAGCTGTTGCTGTGGGTCAGATGTGCGCGCTGCAGAACGAGCATATACATCAAAATCTCTACAAGAAAACAATCAATTGAGTGTCAGATCGGAACAGATCGGACCGCATATAGAGCGTTGGCTGTGATGAAATAGCACTTAAGTAAGGCATTAAGGCGGAGCAAGAGGATTCCTCAATAAGGCAGTAGAGGATTAGGCAGAGCAGACCGAATTTGATTTTTAAAATACATAATTTTCTATATAATTTTTAAAACCACTTCAAAAACCACACCCAAACAAAACTAACCAACGATTGGCACAAAACAACAACTACAACACACACCAAGCAGCAACAAATATATTCATTTATATATAAGACCTAACTCTCCCCCTCTCTATCTCTCTTACTCTGCATTAGAAAATTAAAAAAAAAAAAAAAGTAAACCCCATTTAAAAATTAACCATAAAATTTAGTGAATAAATTTTTGAAGGTGTTTCTTCAACTAGTCATTATCGTAGTTAAATTAAATATTTTTGATTCATATTCACATCTAGAAATGTATGTAGCCAACTATTGCGTTAAGGAATTAAGCAATTTACTCTTCAACGTAGTGATTGGCTAACAGCATTTTTCATAACAAATTCATCATATTGGCAAGAAAAAATACATTAGCAAAATTTTTCGTTAGGCGTGAAGTTAAATTTGCCAAAAAATAAAAAACTTCGTGTAAACAAATATATTAATAAAAATAAAAAACAAAAAAATGTATCGAATATGCAAGCAAATAAAATAGCTAGCTACAAATTAAAAAAAAAAAAAATTGAAACTGAAGAAATACAAAAAAAAAATATATAATAATAATAGAGCTGAAGCTTCAAAGCTTCAACTGTTTCCGTTTAACACCCACAATAACTCGTATGGTAGTTATAGTATTATATGATATAAATTAGAAATATATATT